GCGGTAGCAGTGGTCAAAACCCGCTACGGGGCCAGCCTCATAGAGCGGGTACGTAAACCGCGGCGCTGCCGCTATCTGGGGTGCGGCGGTGTGGGTATTGGGTGCATTCCACAGCTTTTTTGCCTCCATTTGGAGACAAATGTTCTTCATTGAGATAGTCTGGTCATGTAACTTGGTCTTGAAGTGTTGCCAGACCCATGGGGTCTTGTGTGGGTTGTCAACTTTGGTTTTGTTGGTTGCAGGAGCAGATGACAGGAAGCTTGCCTTGAACCCCATGCTTCCACGCCCTCAATAGCTTTGGAGAGTTGCCTGGTGACCCTTTGTTTGATTTCTCCAAATCATTGTTGTCTGATCCCTGATCTATCCTCATAAATGAGGACAAGAAAGGCAGATTCCACAGCAGAATCATCTAGTGATCTAGCCAAAATCATTTTTTTAAAAAATGGATTTGAAAGCAACCACTCAGATGATGACATAATGGCAACTGAAGGAGAATCCAGGTAACACATCTCAAAAGGATGTCATCCAAGTCTGTTCATTGCCTAAGGGTACGTTTGGTAGCGATTATTTTCAGCGATTATTTTGAATAATAGCAATTATTTTGCAAAATGATTGCTGTCAAAAAAAGACGCATGGGACCACTTATGGTACCCAGAAATAAACTCCTTCCCCATCCCAAAAGGAGTTTTAAACGGGACTTTGGATAAACGCCAAAAGGGAGTTTATCCATGCAATAAACTCCCTTTTGTACTGGACAAAATTTCATCTCAAAAGCCTTCAACCACCTTCAATCCTCCTCAATCAATCCAATATGTATTCTCTTCATAATATGCTTGTTCTTTGACTCAGTCAACACATTCGAAACTACACCATCATACTCAAGACTCACAAGCCAATCTTCACTTCTACCTCTTGCTCCTGGCTGCCTTTCCTTCTGCTTTTGTCCAACCAATCATCTTCTGAAATCTATCTTGTGTTTCTCAAATATGAATCTAGAATTGAATTGATTTTTCTTTATAAAAAGTTATTGTCTTTTGTGATGTACAAATGAAGTCTTGAAACCTGATTTTGATTGAAGGAACGAGTTATCAATTGTTCAATTTCCATTCAATTGTGCAGTCTCAATCAATTGGTCAATTTCAATCAATTGTTCAAAACCAATCAATCATTCAATTTCATTCAAGGACACATTTCTGTTATTGCGAGCGTGTCTGGGCAAAAGCTTGTTGTATGGGGACAAAGGTCATGTCCTATGATCATTACTTGTATCAGACATTGCCAGACAATATCC